AGAGAGAGAAATAGAAAGATAGAAATACAGTAGATAGATAGGGAGAGAGAGTGGGTAGGTAGGTAGGTAGAGGGATAGAGAGAGAAATAGAAAGATAGAAATACAGTAGATAGATAGGGAGAGAGAGTGGGTAGGTAGGTAGGTAGAGGGATAGAGAGAAAGAGAGAAATACAGTAGGTAGGTGTATCTGCTAGCATAGCACTTGATCAATGTAATTCTCATCAATCAGTTAAAGAGCTTTCCAAAAGAGAAAAAAAAGTTTTTGCACTCTGCAAACCTCCCAAAAACGTCCCGTTTTTTGCAAAAACGGCCCCGTTTTTTTAAAGGCATGAATAGCCTTGGGGGGCTTGCAGAGTGCTCTTGGGGAGATGGGGGGGGGGCAAAAACGAGCAAAAAAACCGGCCCGTTTTTGTTAAAAAATTGCATGCATAGCCTTATGGAGGCTTATAGAGTGCTCCTGGGGGCTGGGGGGGGGGCAAAAATGGCTAGTTTTTTGCTCATTTCTGCCCTCCTCAGCCCCCAGGAGCTCCATAAGGGCATGCATGGCCATTTTGGTAATGGGTGGGGTTTCGGGAAGTAAAAAATGCTGTATTCGGTATATAAGATGCACCCAGGTTTTCAGCCTCTTTTGACGAAAAAAGGTGTGCCTTATATTTTGAAAAATACGGTATTTTGAACTATCAGTTGTTCTTGTCCAATTTAGAAAATATCTTTTAAGATTTTTCCACATAATCACACAAAGCATTGCTTAGAAAAGAGAATAGAGTTTTTATACATCAATGATAAACAAACAAAATATATTCCCGCACAATTTGTTCAACAGGGAGTGCACTAGTAAATTCTAAACAAAAACTGCACAATTTGGATAGCATGTGAGTTAAACACTTGCTCTGATTACACTCAACAGTAGTAAAAACCATATGGTGCATCAAATACAATAAGAACCTGCTATTCAGGAAATACATTTTCTTAGGTATAAAACATAGTGTTTGCTAACCACTTTTATTCTCCTTCAAAAATGGCCCTAAACCTCGATTGTGTGAAAAGACCCTTTATCCGTCAAATGCTCAGCTTCTATTTTTATACCTCTTATCAAGGGTCAAAGCACCTGGAATTTTAAGAACATAGTGCAAACTTCAAATATATAAAGAAGATTTCAAAAGCTTTCAATTTGCAAAATTTGCAATAAAATGGCAACTCTTTGGAAACATTTACAAATTATGTTCAGCCTCATAAAACTACAATGAAACCTAGATTATCTGACACCCCCTACTTGTAATTTTTATGTAAATTTTTATTCCCAAAATGTAAAGGTACTTATTAAAGTATAAGGCAAATGTTATAAGGGTTCCAAAAAAAGAATATACTAAAGTAAACAATTGTTCATTTGAAATATGCTACATTTATGTAAAAGTACAATAAAAACAATAGATTTGAAAACCATTACTTCCCTTTCAACTTCAATATATTATGCTTTTCATCATTTGTAAACAGCTCTTTCACAAGGTAAAAAAAGTTGCATGATTAACACTTTGTTCTAAATGCAGCTTGGGCAGGTGCTTCATTGAGAGTTGCAGGTATCATCCTTTGTATTTAAACAGCCCCAAACAAATTACTATTTGTTTTCATCATCTTATGAAATAGGCTGCACAACTTTAAATATCTGTGTAAGAAATGTAAGATTTGTGTCCAAAGGAAGAACTACAGTAAAGGATAACATAAAAGAAATTGAAAATTGACTAACAAGCAGGAAATAAGGGGAATTCTGTCTATAGGTAGTCTTCGACTTACAACAGTTCATTTAGTGACTGCTCAGTTAAAACGGCACTGAAAAAGTGACTTATGACCGTTTTTCACAATTACAGCCTCCCCCACAATCATTTGCAGCCTCCCCACAATCATGTGATCAAAATTCAGATGTTGGGCAACTGGTTCATATATTTATGACCGTTGCTGTGTCCCGGGGTCATGTGATCACCTTTTGCAATCTTCTGACAAGCAAAGTCAATGGAAAGGCAGATTCACTTAATGGAATCAAGAAAGGTCATAAAATGGGGCAAAACTCATTTAACAACAGAAATGTTGGGCTCAATTGTGGTCGTAAGTCAAGGACTACCTGTTTTGTTAACTGCAGTGTGAAGACCTGATTGTACTAGACTCATTTAAACACTCAGCATATTTCACAGCACAAAGTGCTGGTGCAAAGAACCTCACTTTTACACAACTTAATGCCTATTTAAAATTTAATACATCTCTTTCTCCCTAATTCAGACAAATAAAAAGTCCAGGGCTTGATCCAGTCAAGCATATGCATGATATTTGCATATGAAGGACTTGTGCTAAGCTCAGGAAAGCTCCAGTTCTCCCATTCCCCACCAAAGTACAGACATGTGCAAGCAGTGCAAGAGGCATTGCAGCAAGAGATGCTCCGGACCTACCACCCATTTCCCTAATTCTGTGCCATCTAAAATCTCTTGAGCTTTGGAGCAGAAGCATGGTGCCAAGATGCCAGATCGAGACAGGACTACTGCCCTGTTATGGTGCCTCCATTTGGCCATTTGCTCACACTGGCAAATAGGGGGAACAGAGCTGTATGAGCCCCATGGAGCCAGTATTCAACTGCTTCAAACCATATAAACTGGCCCACTTTTCCAGGTGTGTTTTAGATTGTTGGAAAGCATGCTGTTGTTGGTCCCAATTCAGTGGAAAGTGATTCCTAAAGGACGTCTATAATTTAATTACGAAGTACTAAGCCATTTTTTCCTATTCTATGCTGAATATCTTCATCACAGAATAGTAAAATGCTCTTCATAAAGCACAAAACATTTTCTAACCCCATCACTCGAAAAAGCCAAAGCATGTGAGGCATCCACTGCAGAAACAATTCCTGGAATTTCAGCTATGCAAGAAACAAGAAGGTTATTTAGCCATTTCAAAACAACATACCATAACACTGAGGACAGAAATCATTGGTGGAGCTTAAATACACTGAGGAAACAATATGCAAAAGCTATCTATTTAGGCTGGCTGAACAGATACTTTCCAAACCATGGTCAGTGATGATCTGAATGCAAAAGCAGGTTTGTACGCAGCCTCTCCTTTGGGATCCAGTTTCATATATATTGTTGAAGGGAAAAGAAAAATCATGTCACCTACACAGATTCTCTCTTCACAAAGGAGCTCTGGATTTAAATCAATAACGATACCCCCAAGCTGCATCTTTATATAAATGCCTGCCATACATTCACTGATTTGTTCAGGCTTTTGAAGTAAACGTTTTAACTTGTGGAAACTTTGCCAAAACAGTTTTAATACATTAAAAAATTTTTACAAACCATCACCTAACACTGCACAGAAAGTGAATAAAGTTTATTCTTTCAAACACAAATATCTGTGTTTTGTAGTTTTAAACCCCTGAGTTTAGACCGTACAAAAAGTACAGATATGAAGAGAAATGGACAGCATTCCTCAGTACATCATCTTCAGACAAGCCCACTTGCCTTGTATGTGTCTCCTGTAATTCCAGCTGGCAGAGGCCAAAAGTAATTTCATCCCCCCTCCCCTTTAAAAGATTTCTCCATATCTTAGTCACAGTGGATATATCGTCTTCAAAATCAGTGGCCCAGGAGGAATCAACTTGAGATCAATGCTCTTTCAATCATAAAATAAGAGAGAAAACTTCTAAAACTGGGCCTCAATTCGGGGAAATCCTTAAAATAGTGACTGGACACAAGTCTTGGGTTGCACTTTGCTCCACAATGATTGTACATTAACCGAAATAAGGAAAAAGAGATAATTCAGCTCATCGGGTTGTCTTGCATCCTGTGCCTTTGACTCAAGCTTTTACACATGGCGCCCAGTCAGAAAATAGAGCGGCTTGTCATCAGAGCTGTTAGCCGTTTGGAATTCATCTCTCAGACGGAACTGCCACTCATCTTCCAGCTCTAATCGCACAATGGTTTGACGCAAGGAGCTCCTGTCTTGGCATATCACACACAGTGTTGCACCTACAGTTAAAAGATAAAATTAATCAGCAGACAGTTTATACCACAGTTTAATTTCTACAACATTTATCTTCTGCGATAGCTCTCAATTGCTTGGAAACATTATTGCATGTTTTAAAAAAGTAACAGTAAAGAGTAATAGTAAAGGAGCCCCGGTGGCCCAATGGTCAGAATGCAGTATTGCAGGCTAACTTCTGCTCACAGCCAGAAGTTTGATTCTGACCAGTTCATGGTTGACTCATCCATCCTTCCAAGATGAGTAAAATGAGAACTCAAATTGTTGGGGGCAATATGCCGACATAAATCGTCCGGAGAGTGCTGTAAAGTACTGTAGGGTGGTACAAATTTCTTCAAATTAAGACTGAGATCATCGTATAAATCTCAAATCAAAGTATACAAAATACTTCCCTGATTTTCCTACCTAAGAAAACATAGAAATACAGAGATATTAATATGTTACAGATTTTATTACATCTATAGTGTTAGTTTTGTATTATTTGGGGGTTTTTTTTGGAATCTGGATAAAAACAATGTATAATATGTTAAAAATATACTAAAATAATACAAAATGCAAGGTAGAATCTGCACAGTGTCTCCTTTGGGTCATGGAACAAGGATGAAACTGTTAGTGACATTCCAGGGAACTGCCCAACTGCCTCTCTTATACAGAAGCATACCACATGTAGCCTTTCAGAAAAATATACTGTTGTTCCAGTATTTCAGGAATAAAAAATAAACAATTTATAGGATATTAAGGAGCAGCTAATTCAAAATTATTTAATATGTTCCCAAATAATAGAGAGCAGACTGTGTTTAAATGAGTATGCATTTAAGAACCAAGAATGAGACTATTTTGCTTCTGGCTTTTTCATATTTTAGGGGTAAAGGTATTGGAGGATTAGAAAGTATAACTGGAACTGGAAGATAATGCTGTTTTTCATTACACTTCCACAACTTTGTCAAATAAGGGTTGTTACACTGCACAGCATATAATGGCAATGTCTGTTCAGTCTATCCTTGTTAGGAACGAGTTAGCAAATTCTATACAGAAATCACATTACCTTTCAGGAATTTGAACCTTTTAAGAAAGTCTGGTCCAACAAAGGAGTCACAAAGGTAGAGAAGAAGACCACTGAAAAACACCCCTTCACAGTTGACATTAACCGAATGTGGACGTGAACTTACATAGCAAAGAGCTACCTATACCAGAAATGGGAACAGACACACATACATTTAAGTTTTCTTTCCTTAAAATGTTCTTATCTCAACATGAACATAAATATCTTATCAAATTAGCTTTAACAATCAATGGCAAATTCAAAACACATTCATATTTAGAATGTAGATTAACCTTTTAATAAATCACAACTGTTTCCAAAACACACAAAGAGAGTTTAAGAAAATTACGGCAAAAGTTGTTTAAACAGTAAAAAAGAAATGGGAAGAATCGACAATATGCTGAAGAGCATTATATTTGTCTACCCAAGCAATTTGAAATGGTTAAATATCTTGGCAAATGGTTCTCAACATCCAAAATATTGATAAAGCAATTAAAAAGAGTAATATCAGTGCTTTAGCTTGACCAAAAAAAAGATAAAAGTCTCAAGATTGGAATTGCCTTGCCACATTCATTACTTTCAAAGTAATGACTTTATTTCTACTGTGTTGTAAAATACAAGGTTTCTGGATACGTACCTGCGGCCCAATATTTAAATAGCAATCAACAGCTAAGACTGGGTTTTTAAAATTGTAGATGGCCTTTGGGAAAAGCTTGTAAGTGGCATATTGAAGGAACTTCTCTAAAAGGAATTGAGCTGGAGCTGCCAAGAGGGTATGCTCGCTGTCTGGAGCACAAACATACTGAAGAGGTATTAGTGGAGTCAAACTTTCTGAGACCTAGACAGGAAAACAATACATCCATGTGAAATATACTGAGAATATTTAGGCAGTTCAGAGTACAACTAGTATTCAATTATCAGTTTAAAATGTTGGATAGAGTGGGGGAAAAATGGAGCTAAACCTGAACAGGTCTTGACACACTATCCCTCTCTGGACCTTCTCTTATTGTAGTGGTTGTGAAGTGGTACTTCAACAATAACAGCACACATCAGTGATGCTGGACAGCCAGTACTTCCTATACAGGAAGACAGCCAGTTTGGTCTAATGGTGAAGGCACCAGGCTACAAACTGGAAGGCTGTGAGTTCTAATTCCACCTTTAGGCATGAAAGCCGGCTGGGTGACTTTGAACCAATCATTCTCTCTCAGTCCCAATCTGCCTCACAAGTTGTTGTTATGAGGAATATAAGAGGAGGAAGGCGTATTAGGTAGGTTTGCCATGTTAAGTTATTTGTAAAAATAATAAAGTTGGGAAACAAACAAACAAGCAAACAAGAAGGGGGGAACCATTAAGAAAGAATTAAAATGTTCCTATAATAAGCATTCATATTTATACAGGGACTGTGTAATGATGGTATGTCTAAACTTATTTATAAACAATCCCCTTTTAGTTTTAGTAGAGTTTTAGTAGGAGTGTCCAAATCATTTCATCTGAAAAACATTTCAACATTTCACATTTACAGTAAATTGTTCCTAACATACTCATCCATTTGTGTCAAAAACATTTGTGTCAAAATCAAAGGCCTTGTTAAGCATGAAACATTTCTGAAATAATCAGAGCTATAGATTGCAGCAACCTCTTTTGAACTCAAACTATTTCAAATTCAAAGTAGTTTACAACCTCAAAAGCTTTTTGTGATTTTTTTTCATTATTATTTCTAAAAGCAGCCTTTATTCTAGGCCTGATTCCTGCACTGCACTACAGCTTGTTAGAAGCATTCATTGAAATCAGTCAGGAAGCAAGCAGCACATCTGGCAGCTGCAGAAGTAAAAGTGTCTATCAAATATGTTTATATTTGATTTCTTGTTTATGGACCCAATGATTAGCCAATTCGAATAGTTGAATGATTATCAAGAAAGAAATTGAAGGCCTCTTGAAAAAGACAAGAGCACAGAGCCACAGTTGCCAAACAGGGTTCCTGCACAAAGCTGAAATATTTCATGATATACGTAAAGCAATGGATGGAAAGAGACTAATAAAATTGTATCACATGGAGAAATCAGCAAGTACAGAAATATAACCAATGAATAAGTAAAGCAATGGCTTGAAATGGAAGGAGACCAGAGACTATAAGTCATAAAACCCATTCAAACAGAACAAGAAATTCTTTTTCTCCTTTTCATCTAATAATCAACTAAGAGATTGTAAATCTACAGAAGAGCCCATTAAGGGTGGTAGGGGTGGAATCTAGTGCCAATTGCATTCTTCTAGATAATCCAGTGAGCAAGTTTGTCCGATAGTGAGAGAATCAGGACATGAACCAGCTGCTTTGTCATTTGAACACCTATAAAAAGTCAAGTGGGACTGAAACCAAAGGACACTTGAGACAAATCTATGTTGATGGTGAACAGGAAGATTACATCTTGCTGATCTCGGGGATATCACAAAATCTCCGAGAAAAGCAAGGCAAAGTCTTCTGCTGGCAATAAAAATT